AAAGTGTCTGAGAAAAGTGAAATAGAAATTGAAAGTAAAAGTAATTAAACAACTTTTTGAAAACGACAACGCTTTTTTAGTGAGGTGGATAACAAATTGTACTGATGATTGATCCTCTGATAATTGACGACGATTATTGAAATATGATGTGACAAATCAACAAGACAAGTACTCAAATTCAAAGACTTTAAAACAAAAGAGACAAAGTCTCAAATTCAAAGACTCAAAAGCCCAAATTAACGAGACAAAGTGAGTAAAACTGCACCGCGAAACTATGCCAAAACAGTCATTAGTATTTATAAGAGAGTAAAACTTACGTTATTTTCTTCGTACTTTGAACACCAGTTGTCTTAAAGATTGCTCCAGGATGTCCTAMCACAAGTCTTCTATTAATCCAACTATGAAGACCCTACTTTATTTTTTTTCGCTCCGGTATCTTAGTCATTCGCGCGCTGTGATTGGCTAGAGCGCGGTCCGGTTTTTCACGATCTGCCCGGTCCGACGGTATCCTGCAGCTAGGCTGCGAGCAAAGTTGCATAAAATACAAAGGATACTTCGGTCTTTTATGTACGGACCTCGCTGCGCTCGTTCCGTACTGTCAAGACCTCGGGTAGTGTTTTCCTATACGGACCTCCCAGCCGGTAAATAACATATAGAAATATATTCACACTATGTATAATTAAAGAGAACGATATTGCGCATACACATCGGGTGATATTGACTTGTATCCTTTACGAGTTTGTAAGGTTTCTTGTGATTGGAGGAATAAAACAATGCTCATGGTTTCCTCGGTCTTAAATTCTATTGTTTTCTTTTGTTAAAGAAATAGCTAGTAAACCAATTGGATAAGATCTTGCAAACCGTGAAGGCTACCCCATATTGAGAGGGACCATTGTATTTCTCCCAAGTAATCACTGACACGCTGCAAATCATAGACAAAATACTTTGGGAAAACACCAAAACTTTTGTTCAAGACAGTAAAATCGTGAAATGCCATACACTATTCGAGACAAATGAATTTTCTTTGGCGGAACGTCCCCTTATTGTAAATACATTGAGAGCTACGGAATTTATCTGGATAAATACCTTAAACATAAGAGAGTTTCTACATATCAAAGAATTGCCCCAGAAAAGTTGTCCTTCGTTTAGCAGCCATTATTTGGAAGTACGATAAGACTGGTTTTTGGCGATTTTCTCGACTTTTAAAGCATGAAATCGTCTGAAACTTGCAGATATTTTGTTTGTTCCCATATATGGCATGGATTCGCTAAAGGAAGCCCAAAACTAAAAAGCACAGGGATCCCGCACGAATGACATACAATTCTTTGATATGTAGTGAAAGTGCTAAGGACAAATCGAAGAAAACCCAGAATGTGACTCTATTAAAAATCTTCCCCGTCATAGCCTGCGTAGAAGCTCAGTAATCTCT